GATAGATGAGTATTGGTAATTAAACCATTGGATGTAATGGGGACCTATATGATTCACTTCTCAAGAAAAAAAAAAGGGACATGAAATAACAAATTAATGTGATACTTAAGTGACCACTCTGTGTTCACACATTTTCCAGCATTAGAGGGAAACTGAAATAAATACTCCAATCTCTTTTTTGGTTTAAAGCAATTGGAAAGGATATTAATGGGGTCTAATATCAATGTTGACAGATAGCAGAGAATAGAGAAATGAAAGGCTGTAGTAATGAAGTCATCATAAAGAGGGATGGAAAAACTAGGCAGGTAAAATTTGAGAAGAAAAGAGGAACTATATGGATTTCACTTTTTCAAAGATGTAAATGAAGGAATAAGTATAGTGTGTTGCCAGATTCTCTCCTTATTCACTCTTCTCCCTTTCTTCCTCCTTCCCTCTCTTTCTTCTTTCCTTCCTTCCAGCTATTGCATATAATATTAAAAGGATTATTCTTTGATTTATTTATTTATTTCATTTATTTGGATAGTCTATGGAAAATACTTATTAGGCAGGACACCTTTCACTACAGAGAAGCTTAAGAAACAATAGAATGACTGTGACATAAAGGATGCATTGAAGGAAGCAAGGGTCCAGAGTTAGGGATATAAACTGTGGTTGGAGAAAGTCACAACTAGGGATAAATTTTGTCTTGGTTCCCCTTCCCTTTCCCTATGTGGATTTTCCCTCCCATTTTTTCTTCTCATTTAATTTCAGGCTTTTAGTATTTTTAAGATGAGTGTAGGTACATCTACATAAAGAAATGTAATATGAAAAATATAAAAAAGAGGAAATAATAAAATCCACTCAACTCAGAGTACTGAGTTCTAACTGTGCTAGAGCAGTTCCTGAAGATCACATAATACTTTTCTATTTCCCCATATGTAGTCAGAATATAAAACTGATCCAAATTATATTGTTGCTTTTTTTTTTTTTTTGCGGTACGTGGGCCTCTCACTGCTATGGTCTCTCCCGTTGTGGAGCACAGACTCCGGACGCGCAGGCCCAGCGGCCATGGCTCACGGGCCCAGCTGCTCCGCAGCATGTGGGATCTTCCCGGACCGGGACACGAACCCGTGTCCCCTACATCGGCAGGTGGACTCTCAACCACTGCACCACCAGGGAAGCCCAGCTTTTTTTTTTTTTTAAAGAAAGCATCTTCGGTAACAGTGGAACTTAGAACACTTCTTAGAACACTTAAAATGAATCATGAAATCCTGCAACAAAAACTGAAAGTGAAAAAATATCTTACCAAATTATGAGAATAATTATACTTTCACTCAATATTCATGAATACAAGTATAAAACTTCTATTACCTAGGCTCTGTGTCTTTAATTAATCCTGTTTCATTAACTCCAGTGAACTCTTGTGAGAGTAGAATGCAAAGTAATGTTTCTGAAAGTGTTCATTCTGATGCCCAGGCTCCAGCAATTTTTATCAAGCCTAACAACTCATCAGAGTCTTGAAGGTATCTCTGTGGAATTTTACACCACAGATGCATTGTGCTTTTTGGATCAGTTATCTGTATCACTTTCATGCTATCCTAATAACTAATCCTGAAATTTGAGTAATTTTACACAATTCTTTTAACCAAGATTATTGAAAAATATTGTGTACAGACATCCTCAGTTCTTTGTCTCATCCAACCTAATTTTCTATTTCTTTACTATATTAAAGTATCAATCCAGGTAACCGAAATGAATATTCCATTTTGATCTAAAGACTTATGAATAGGCAGAAGACTAGACAAGTTGTCAAAGTCCCTTCCTGTCTAGAGAATTGGCATTTGGAAATATAAATAAGTAAATCTTTCTTCTAGTTTACATGTTGGATAGTAATTTTATTGTGTCATTTTTCTGAGACCTTGACACATTTATTTGCATTTTTAATACTCTTTCATTGTTTTTATTTAAAGATTTTTTTGATGTGGACCATTTTTAAAGTCTTTATTGAATTGGTTACAATATTGCTTCTGTTTTATGTTTTGGATTTTTGGCCGCGAGGCTTGTGGGATCTTAGCTCCCCGACGAGGGATTGAATGCGCACCCCCTGCACTGGAAGGCAAAGTCTTAACCACTGGACAGGGAAGTCCCTCTCTCATTGTTTAACTTTTTCCTGCTATGTATTACAGGTAATACTAAGGTGTCTCAGAATACAATACACTCTTTCCTCTTAGAACCTCCTCTTTTATCACTCCAGTATTTGATTCCTATAAAATTTGCATTTATTTGAAAATCTTTGGTGTAAAAGAACTTTAGTATCTGAAAGCCATTTTGCTAGCTTATGACAAGTCTTCAAATTCAGGCTTATCATGTCTCCATTCATTTTTTTCAGTAGGGTAGAATCAGGATTTGGGGCAAATACATTTAAAATTTCCAAGTACTATGCATTTATTTTTCAATTACAAGAGCTCCTTGTTTTCTGTTTTTCATTTTAAATAAAAATTGTATATGTAAGTTGTACAACATGTTGGTTTGATATATATATAGTTAAATGATTACCACAGTTAAGATAATTGACGTATCATCTCCTCACATAGTTACCATTTTGTGTGTTTGTGACAAGTCCACTTGAAATGTCCACTTCTGAGCATATTTTCAGTATTCAGTACAGTATTTTTAAGTACAGTCATGTCTGTACATTAACTCTTTAGATTTATCTGTCCTTCATAACTGCAAATATTTACCATTTGAGCAACATATCCACATTTCCCCCATGCTCCTAGTCCCTGGTAACCACTGTTCTACTATCTGCTTTTATGAATTCAACCTTTTTTTTAGATTTCACATATAATTGAGATCATACAGTATGTGTCTTTCTCTGTCTGATGTCTTTCACTTAGAATAATATCCTCCAGTTTCATCCATGTTGTCACAAATGGTAGAATTTCCTTCTTTCTCATGGTTGAATCATATTTAATTGATGGAGAAGATATTGGAAATGATACATCTGATAAAGAGTTAATATCCAATATATGCAAAGAACTCACACAATTCAACATCAAAAAACCAAATGACCCAATTAAAAAATGGGCAGAGGACCTAAGTAGACCATTTTCCAAAGAAGACATACAAATGACCAATAGCCATATGAGAAGATGCTCAATGGCACTAAGCATCAGGGAAATGCAAATTTTTATTATATCTGTTTTATGTCAAGTGTAAATCCCCCATGGATATGGCACTATTTTAGCTGATCCTTCCTTATAATCCAATGTGCTCCACTAATTATTAAGAAGCATGATTCGATTTAGAGTAGCAAATCAGAGTTCACATTTCTGGTTTTTACTTCTAAATTGTGACTTGGAAAAAAAAACAACCTTCTTCATCTTACATCAATATTTCCTATTATAGATTTTGAGAATACTAAATATTTTTTAACCTTGGTATCACAACAATTATTACATTTTCAGACTCCAGTGAAGAAGTACCATGTATAAGTAATCAGATAGCCACTGTTACCAAGAATGATGCTTAGAAGTTGAACTTTCTTTCTGACACTCATAATCCCACACTATTCCTTCAATTCACATTACTTTCTACTAAAAAAGAGCTTCTTAGAATTACTTTTACTGCTTCCTATATTACTTAGTAACTAACTTTGTTTCTTTATCAATTCAGTTAAACAAAAAGTATTGTGTCCCTAATGTATCCAATACAGTGTTGGATATTTGGGATACAAAAATGAAGAAGTTGAACAAGAATGATAGATTGGAAACAAAATTCAGCCATAAGCTATCCCACTTCTTCCATTCCTTTGCCTATCTCTTATCTTGACTCTGCATCCTCCAATAAATAATAATAAATCAATCTTCCCTGCAGCCAAAAAAATTTTGCTAAAATTTTGACTAGTTCAAATTACTTTCAGGATAAATTCCAAGTTTCTAGGCATAACTATATAGGACTCTTGAGGGCACAGCCCCTGTTTCTGTCTCCATCTTCATCCCCTCATATTTCACACTTCACAAATTCCATGCTAAAATACAAAATGCTTATAATTTCCTGTTCACTTTGTCCTGTTTTGTGCCTCTCTCCTCATTTTCTCTCTCCCCAAGAAACTCACTTTCCACCATTTTTAGTATTACTATTCTTCCTGCAGTTCAGAAGACTTCTCCTCCAGGCGTCCTTTGTTAAATATCAGATTCAGACAGTAATTTTTGCATGTGGTCTCACATCACTAGTGCATCTATCTTAGCATTAATATATATATAGAAAGTGTCCATTGGTGTTTCTGCCTACTGCTCTAAACTTAAAATCCTGAAGGGCTGGAATCATTTCTTCTTCATTTTGTTCACGCCTTTCCTCTAGCTCAGTGGTTGGCAAACTGTGTTTTTAAAGGGATAAGCAGTATGCAGCATTTTAGGATTTGTGGCCATAGGATCTCTATCACAGCTACTCAGTTCTGCTGTTGTAGTATCATAGCAGCCATAGGCAACAAGTAAATGAACAAACATGGTTATATCCAATAAAAATTTTACTCACTAAAACAAGCTTTCTGGCCTTAGGTTGCTGACCCTTGCTATAGCATTGTGCTAATAGTATAGTGCCAAATAAATGAATAAGTCCCTGATTTATTCCTGTGCTTGAATTCTAACTGGGTAAAGTGCCAAGTACTTGGTTCCCTCTGGAAGAGCCGTTGCCTCTATCGCCAGCACCCTACATTGACAGTCACTTATCAATGCCTGTATATCTTCTCTGTGCCAAGGACTCAAGCAAAGATGACTCAGACATGGGCTTTTTCTCTCCTAAGGCCATGTGTGTCAGGGAGAATTACAATCAGGTGCAACTAATGGAAAAACATACTCCATTGACTTAAACAATCAAGAAGTTTTTTTTCTCTCATATATCAATAATATCAAAGTATAGCGTTTGTGACAGATTAATTATGCCTTTAAGGACTCAAATTCTTCTTTATCCAGTTGTATTCTTTTTGCATAAGGTCTTTGTCCTCATGTTCACAAGATAGATGCTGACTATCCATGCATTATACCCATTTTTCAGGTAGGAGGAAGGGAGAAGGAGACTAGAACACCTGCTTATTTGCATGTGTGTAATGGTCTATATTGCATGACTTTTCCTAACTTCAATGCAGATTGGGAAATAGTAGTAACACTGTTGCAATTTTTATAATAGAAGACATCTGGGACCTAGGGCTGAATGGATATTGAATGAATTTTCCTAAAGTATATGCTACATCATGCTACCTCTATGTATTGTTCTGCAAAGTAGGGTGTTTTATTACACTTGAAATTGGCGTAAAATCCCCAGCCTTGGCCAAATAATTTTCATAATTCCTTTAACATCATGAGATTTCATTTAAATTTAATGTTAAATTAGGTCTATTTTGTCACCATGTAAATTTAATATTAAATTAGGACTATTGTGTGTGCAAATTATCATTTTGTTTATCTAGTCCTCACTCTCACTTAACGTCTTTAGTATGAGAACTCTTGACATGGAAACAATTTCCTCCTATTCTCCCTAAATGTTAGTACTTTTTTTGTTATAAATTTGTACATGGAAAAAATTATAACATATGGTCTAGAATTTGATATTTTACGAGCAATTTATATTTTCAAAGTACTTTAAAAATCATGTATCCGTTAAACTTATTTGAATATTATATTGACCCACTTTTTCTTTCATTATGAATAAATGGCTTTTAGTAGAGAACAACGGTAATCTAATGTTATAGTTAAGGAGATGAAGTATTTCACATTCATTTTTCCATAATGAAATCTCTAAGCCTTCACATCTAAAAATGCATACCTGAAGAAAATAATTTGGTTGTAATTTCACATTTCATAGACATATTGCATTAGACCTGTCACTAAAGAATTATCTGCTTTGTGGTAATAATTGTTATTAATTATCAATATTTCAAAATAATGAGAATACAGTGATGAAATATATGTCATCACATAACCCTCCATTGAAAAATAACATGGTAGGGAGAAAGTAGAAAAAGCTAAAAGGCAAAGGGAAATTTGATTCCCTCTTAGAGCTAGAACACCATCTCTTCTATGACTCTGCACAGGTATTTTAAGATTTCTGCCTTAGTGGTTTTATTTTGCTCTTTAGGGTTGTATGTATAGATAACCTACTGTTTAGAAAGGACTTATATGAAGACTGAAATACAAATGGTAAGTAATATAACTTTACTTTCAAAAAGGTTATCAACGGGGCTTTCCTGGTGGCACAGTGGTTGAGAGTCCGCCTGCCGATGCAGGGGACACGGGTATGTGCCCCTGGTCTGGGAAGATCCCACATGCCGCAGAGCGACTGGGCCCGTGAGCCATGGCCACTGAGCCTGCGCGTATTTAACTATGAAACTATGTATTCAAGAGAGACTACTGTTTTCAAATTGTTATAGCAACAAAGATAGCATTATTTATTATAGTCTGGTTAAACTTCTAACTCTACAAAGAATATAGGAATATATATATTTAGAGTTCCCTTCCTTCAGTAGTAAGATATTAAAAAAAGCTTTCCTGTTTTGAATCTCTCCTCCCTTGTTCTTTTCAGTTTACCCTTTATTATAGAATTAACCTGTGACACCCCAAAATTCAGCTCTTGCCTAAATGAAAATTAATCCCTACATGTCAGGCTGTTCTTTTAGTTATTACAATCAACTTTGATATTAACAAGAGAATAAATATTGAAGTAAGACTTATTAGGTTTGAAATCAACCTCCACTACTTTTATCTCTTTTTATATCTTAGTTTTACACTTACAGAAAAATTTTACAAGTAGCAGAGTCCCATATTCACTTCACCTGATTCCCCTTTATGTTAGCATGGTAACAAAACATGGTTTTGTGGCAAAACCATGGTACAATTATACAAACTAAGAAATTAACACTGATACAATTAAATATAATAACTGTATATTACTAACCAATGTATTCACACAGTCTTATATTTATTTCTGAATCTATCCACCCATATATATTTTAAAACCATAAGTTCCCATTGATACTTCCATTAAATGCAACATTACAGCACTCATTCCTCCTTTCCTTATTTGTCACTTCTTTCTCTTACAGTAAGCAATTGACTCATGATCTAAGATACATTTACTTAGGTGTTCAACTGTAGTATACGTTTAACAGAGTTTCAGAATTCTAATACTTACTCTAATGAAAAAAAATATACTCATCCTTAAACCACTTTACTAGAGCATTTTAGTAGGTTAGTTAATTTACTTTAGGAATTATGACTTCACAACAATAACAAAGCACTCATTAAATGTATAGAAAAAGAAAAGTTTTGGGTCATTATTTCTTTGTTTTGCTGTTTCCAAATAATGCAGTCTATTTTCATGGCTAGATTTTCATGTAAAGCTAATGGTATTCCTATGTGCCACAGATTTTGATTTAAGTGCAATCTCTCCCCTATAGGTTTTTCCAGCAGAGAAAGGAAATGGGTCTCAAGCCTCTCATTGCGTGACTCCTCTGCACATGCCGACTTAGCTACCATGTCTGGACAAGTGAGTACACCTTTAGACTCAAGCACAATGGCATATAGATGTACAAATTACTGCCATTATTATAATTGCACTACTATGCCCTATTGAATGCAGTGAATTACCATTACATTATGAAAGCTATCTTAGAAAGTGTGTGAATAATATAGTACATTTTTACAGAATAAATGAAAATGGAAGGAATGGCAATATTAAATTAAAAATGCAGTGAATGCATATATTTTATTATACACTAATATTCAGATAAATGCTGACAAGTTTTATTGATTTTTTTGCTCATTTCGCTTATAAAGGTCAATTTTATGTCAGTTTCTAAAAAAGAATAGTTGTTGACACTTTCTAGGCAAAACATAGATTAGTGAAAATTCCCCATTCTCACAATGTCTTTATAGCACATTATTTTTATCTTTTACCTTTAACTAGCCTGAAAGTCTAGTTTTCAGCCATATTTTTGTTTGGTTGAAATTGCAGTTCTCTCAAGACAAGGGTATGTAAAAACAAGAAAATGGATATAGTGAGAGAAAGGCATAGATTCTCAAGCATAATTAAAATGAGGTTGCAGGAATTAGAGACCAATTATATATAGAAATAAGAACTTTGTTGTTTCCTCTGATAATATTTTGCTTTATTATTTTTGTACTCCAATAAGTTTTAAGCACCATTACCAGTTATATCTCTTAAAACTGATAAAACAACAGAGGATAATTTACTGATCATTCAACTCTGACACAGAAAATAGTTCCTGAGACTCTCAAGAACTGGAATGAAAATATTAAGAAATTCTATTTGTCAATTAAGTTTCAGTTTCAATCATTTGTGAAGAAATACAGAAATCATTATTTTCTAAACCATTAAAATGAGGGGTAATATTAACCTAGTATATTTGGTTATTTAAAGTCTTTCAATAAATTATTGTTTAGAGAGTCAATTTTTCCAGTTAATAAAATATATATATTTTGTTACTTAAACTTTTATTGATTCTTATAATTTTGGATTGAAATCATCCTAAAATAGTTTAACCTAAATATCTTACAAATTCAAAGAGAGAATGTTAAACTAATTCATTTAAATTCATTAAATTCCTAATTCATTTAAAACTGTTTAAGTACATACTCTGTGGTACTTATTTTGGTAAACATTCTAGAGAGGTGGTGGGGGTGAATTAGGGAGTTTTCCCAGTCTAAAGTGTGGAATCCAGACACATGTCTCCAAAGCAATTCTAAGCAACACCAGTCTATCAAGAAGCTTGAGCAGTTAGAGGTAACGCCTTTGCTGGCACATTCAGCAGGTGGTAAACTCTGTTAGCAAAGGTCATCACATTCATGGAAAATACTCTGATGAGTACAGTTTTCTGGTAACTGACTATACTGCTGAACTGAATGAATAAGCATTTTCAGAACTCTAATGGAAAGCTGATGAATTCATAAAAGTGGTAACAAAAGATCAAGATGAAAAAAAAAGTTAATTACATGGGACTGAGTGACCTGATGAGGATGATTATAATTTTTGTGACTTTCTGTTTGAATTACTCCCCCCGCGTCAAAAAAAAAAAAAAAAAACGTTATCATATGCAAAGCTACCAGCTTAAGCAGACAATGCCAAAGGGGACGGTGGACAAAACTATACAGACACCGTCCATGCCAGAAGGTACACTGAGGCCGTTTGAAGCTAAAGGGTTTGTGACAGGGAAGGTAACTCAGAACTGGCCAAAACCAAGAGGATGATTTCAAGTGGGTTTTGGGGGACAGCTGTGGAAGTCAGAAACAGTGCATATGAGGCTGAAGACAAACATAGGATGATAATAATAAAGAAGATTTGCTTGTGTCTCAGAATCTAAGGAAAGAAGAACGTTTTCAAACAGGCAATATCGAGTTTATACAGTTCCTATTTTTGTTCTTGATATTTCATTAAAAATAATAATATTATTTTCTAGTATTTATATAGTGTCTTCTCCATACCAGACACTGTTCTAAGAGCTCTGTAACTCACACTCACGGCAATTCTCTAGAAAATTAATAATAGTATCCTATCTTGTGGGGGGAAAAGATACATAAGAGGACTGAGTAATTTGCAAAGGTCACATTTGAACTGGGATTCAAACCCGCGTTGTCTGACTCCAGTCTTTTCTCTTTCTCCCTGTGACATACTACTTCTCAAATATTTAATCAAATGTTACCCTTTTCTCTCTAAGGGAAAGATGGCCTTAACTTAATGCTGTTCCGTCTATCAAAAGTGCTAAAAAAGGTTAGTTTTGGTGTACTGACATTATGAAGGATTTGTTCAATAACTGAAATCTTTGTTAGGAGAAGTTTGCCAAAATACTATTTTTAAAAGATAAATATGGATTTTTATTTATGATAGGGTCTTTCTTTTTTCCCTCCATCTTCCCTTCCTTCCTTTTCTTTCTTCTTCAGATAAACTTTGGTTTTGGTTTTAATTATCTTTGTGATATTCTGAAAATAATATTAATGTACAAAAATTAAAATATGTCAATAATATAGTCATTCATTAAATTTATCACCACTAGATGTCTCCAAAAAGTTTGTGTGTGACGGATTTAAAATTCTGATTCATCTACCAATAAACTCTCAAAGCCAGAATAGCAGATATCTCAAAACTACTTCAGTTTGTTTCAGGGATGAAACTGGAAGAGTTTGCTGAGCTCTTGATTGAGCTCACTTAGGTGATTCTTTCCACAACATTGGTCATAATTTCTACCTTTATCATGGTCTATCTAAATATCAATTTAAATTTATTTCTCTTCTGAGTTTTCTGCATTTTGCTATTCTTTGTGTGTGTGTATATATATGTGTGAGTGTGTTAGCACTTAAAATTTTCTCTTGTAAGGATTAGCATATACTACATGACTATCCAAATATTAAGTCAGTTTGGAATTTATCATGTTTAATCATTGAATTCCTGATTTTTAATTGAGACTAAAAATATATTTTCTGCTGAGTTCATTCATTCTTATTTTCAGCCAAGCTCATGCCTAAGTCTTTGTCCATATGATTTGCTAATGACCTAGGCAATTCAGTAAAAATGATTATAGTTCTATATCATAGTTCACACTTAAAATTTCTTCCTCTCTGCTTGTTGTAGACTAAATATTCCTAAAATCTTTTCTACCCTATTGATTCTTCCCCACATAGAGGTAGCAAAGACATGGGGAAAAAGACCTTCTAACAGGGCTGAGACATTTTGATCCACTTCAGCTCTGCTCTGCCTCACCTCATGATTTAGAAAAATCAATGGCATATCAGCTTAGTAGTCACTGATCCATGAGGTAATTGCACCTTCTAATATCTTCAACTTACAGCTTCTGAAATGGGCAAAGCCAGTGACCAGAGGATGAAACACATTGTTTTTTTTTTTTTTTTTTCTCAGTTTTGTGATCAAATTGAGAAAATAGTCATCTCAGTCTGTATTTCTGAAGGAAAAATAACATTGCCTCAGAGGTGTAAAGGTACTATTAAACACGCTTTTATCATATTAAGTTTATTATTTTCCCAAATAACTGGCTTTATTATGCTATAGATTATATTTACCCGCAAAACGTGTGTGCAGTTTTCTAACCTAATTCATTATAAAAAGCGTTCTAGGTTTCAGTATGGAGAACTTGGCACTTAATTTTGTTGTTAAATATGGTGGGAAATTATCCCCACTGCTTTTGTTATGCTGCTTAGAGACATCTTAACTAACTAGATAAGAATTCATCTTTAGGAAAGAGATGTGGGCTTAAGTAAATACTAAACAATTTGAGTATTAACACACAGGGAGAAAGTAAGATTGATGATCTGACAAAATATTAATTAAAAGAAGGAACATTGCCAAGGTTTTCTTGTATAATTCAATTCCACATAATTCAAAGGCAAAATTAATTTACTGTTTCTTATTTGACAACAAAGAAAGAGCTTTATAATGATTATTTTTTTTAAATGTGTGCTCACATGACATGGTAAAACTCCATAATCAAAAACATAGTTGTTTAACCTCAGAGGTTTGCATTTAAATTCCAGAATTCCACAGAGACGATAAAGCACTTCTTTGAAACGAAATGAGTTTGCACTTATTTCTGCAGGTTTTTAGGCATATGCAAACATCAAATACCAATTTTGGTATTAATTAAAGGAAATAATCCTAAAACATTTTGCAATTTTTACTTTGAGCAGTTGCCCGTTCGCACAGCCCAACACATGCTGAATATTTTATATACAAGTGATTTATTATAAAATTTACCAATGATGGCTAATACTCTATTTTAATTAATTAATTAATTAATTAATTTGTTTGTTTGTTTTTTGTGGTACACGGGCCTCTCACTGTTGTGGCCTCTCCCGCTGCAGAGCACAGGCTCCGGACGCACAGGCTCAGCGGCCATGGCTCACGGACCCAGCCGCTCTGCGGCATGTGGGATCTTCCCGGACCGGGGCACGAACCCGTGTCCCCTGCATCGGCAGGCGGATTCTCAACCACTGTGCCACCAGGGAAGCCCTAATACTCTACTATAAAGTTTACTTGCCCAAATATGAGCATTTTTAAAGATTAAATGTTGTTATGTATTATAAAGCAGAGTGTGCTTACTAATTTAATCCTGAGAAGCCCCTTTAAACGTATTTTGTATCACTATCATTTTCAAAAATGTAATTTCAAATAATTTTCCTTTCTGTTAAAGACCACGCAATTATTGCTTGAAAATATGTAATTCTTCTGTTTAATGAGGTAGAGCAAAATAAATTTTTATTCCAAATGTATACTTAAATGTCTAGCACTGGGCTTCCCTGGTGGCACAGTGGTTGAGAGTCCGCCTGCTGATGCAGGGGACACGGGTTCGTGCCCCGGTCCGGGAAGATCCCACATGCCGCGGAGCGGCTGGGCCCGTGAGCCATGGCCGCTGAGCCTGTGCGTCCGGAGCCTGTGCTCCGCAATGGGAGAGGCCACAACAGTGAGAGGCCCGCGTACATTAAAAAAAAAAAAAAAAA